AATTTAAAGTTGCTGTGGCATGGAATATCTGTCTACTAAGGTAATTTTACTTCCTTGGATAAAATGATTTCGTGCTGCTTATTATTGGAAAGTTAGAAAATTTATAAGATTAAAAAATTATGAAAATTAGTAAGAATATTTAAATTTTATCATTTGTGTTAAATGCAAAATATCTATTTGAGGTATATGTATGTCTGTTAAAATGTTATCATTAAAGGATTAAGTTGTATTGCATTGCATGTTTGTGATACTGTTTACTTGAGTGTAGCATATAGACTCTGTTAGTAATTTAAATCTAACGTTCAATTATGGTAATAGCTAATTATGTCGATTCATGAATAATATAGTTTATTGGTCTACTTAAGTATGCTTTATCCAGACTATTTGCATTTCTGATTTTGTTCTGTTAATCTCGTCTGCTAAGTGTAGAGCGCAGCAACCGATATTGGATATTTAATAAGGATTTAATTAATTAGTATTAAAAAAAAAATTTAAAAAATTAAAACATTTTTTTCTAAAATGTTATACATTATTCTTAAATATTTTATTATTCATTATCTAAGAATTAAATATATATATATATTTACAGGATAATTAATCAATGCTAAATAAATAAAATTAGTTTTAAAAATGGTCTCATCTCCAGAATATACAATAAATTTCAAACATACTAGTATTGAAATTTAACAATTAAAAACTAAAGAAAATACGATTTATTAATTCAATTATTCTACAGCTGGTTTATAATTTTATTCCAATATAAACACAACAAGTGAATTTGTGAAACTTTCACAGCAAATTAACAAAACTCCAGAAAAATTTGTGAACATAAAAGTCAAGTACGACTTTGGGTCAGTTGGTTAAGGAGCGCTGTCTCTGAGCTTCAAATTTCGTAGGGCACGAGTTCGATTCCAAGTACTTGCAGCCTCAAAATTTATTTACGAATAATTATATGTAAGAATTATTTCCAAGACTACTGATGACGGTATTTGGCAATACTTGAAACATTTGTATGGTCATAATATAAAATGAATTTTTGTTGTTATAGTTCACTATTGTTTGAAAAAACCTTTTTATAAATTTTAATAATTTCAATATTTATATATTATATTATATATTTATATTTATTATATTTTTTTATATTAATTTAATTATTTATATTTAATAAATTTTAAATGAAAGAATGATATAAATTAATATAATTAATATAAATTAAAATAAATTTTAATTTTTGTTATTGTAGTTCACTTCTCTATATTCTTTATAAATTTCTCTATAAATTATAAAAATAAATAAATAAATGTAAAATATAAACATTTATTTAAAGTTTTTCATTTTCATTGTTAATTAATTTTTTTTTATAAAAACAATTTATTCACATTCGTATTCATGTATTACAAATAAAATAAATAAAACATTAACTCTGATAAAAATTCGTAACTTATGATTGATAAAGTCCAAAGTGCAAGGAGTTTTACAAAAATCACAAAAAAAAAATTAAATAATTTGCTCAACTAATCAGAAAAGTATCTAAATACAGTGGTGAGCAGGTGAGCTACAATTAGAATAGATATACCGTACTATATATTTTATTTGATTGCATTAATGATGAGACTTTATTTGAATATCTATAAATATGTAATTACATATGTTGATTTGTTTATAAATTTTATCACTAAATGACTACAAAAAAATCAATTTATTCCGCATTTGAGTATATGAAAATCGATAACATTTGACGTGCCTTCAAATTCAGAAATTTTCATGAATGAATTTGATTTCATTGGAGGTTGCCGAGTCTTGTTTGGGCAATAAAAAGAGATAAAATTTTGTTTTATTAAAAGCGAAAGTTATGGAATTTGAGCTTTTTTTGATTGCTTTCGGTATTTTTCCGAGTTGAAATTTTAACAAAAACATTATCAAATTGCGTTGTATATATAATTACTAAATAGTGTAATATAAATTTTATATTATTTGGTATGTTACTAAATATTTGATATAACATTTCTTATCAATTTGCAAAATATTAGCAATGAAATCAGCAATCCATTTTGGGCACCGCAATTCTTAGGGCCCATAAAATGTCAGAAGATTTTACAAAAATTATTGATTAAATTGTGCATGTTTTTGTAATTGGTTATAAACTTATTATTATCTTAACATTAAAAAAATTTGTGAATTTATTACAAAAAATAATTCTTTTTATTTGCAAGAATTTCATGAGTTTTTCATTTTTCTATTGTGTTTTTCCTTGAAAACCTAAATTCTTTATAAAGAGGGCTTCTATATCAATTTAGGTAAGATTAACTTGTAACCGTAAGTTACCTATAGACTTATTCGTTTGTTGCGATACCAGATGCGAAGAAACCTTATGTATATTTGTAATAGATAACATGTTGGGTGCCAACTCGATTTTTTTGAATTAAGGTGCTCTTGATGCTTTATTCCTGAGACGTTCTTTAATTTCACAAATTCTGAAGCACTCAGCTATGTTTATAGTCTTCGTGACAATACAGGACATACACATAAAAGATGTTCTAAAGTTCTTTAACTACCTACATTTGTTACAGAAAGTTCTTGTAAGTTTATTCATCTGTTCTTTTAGTACTTCTAGTTAGCACTATTTTCGTATATTACTTCTCTAAATTTTGCAAGTTATGATAGAAATAGTCTACATAGTAGTTGTGTATTTACATTTTTTGTTAAATTGTTCTATTATTGTTTTAGCTATGTTAGTTGATACTTTTAGTTAATAATTCTTCTTATTTTTAGTGTTGTCAAATAGCACATTTTTATTTTATTTCTCGTATATTCTTGTTCAGTGGTTTTAATATACTTAAAGAACATACTTGATGTGGCTTATTTCTATATATACTTTTCAACTAAGTTGAACTAATTCGTCTATATGCCTAACTGAAGCGATATATGCCTACTTTTATAATTTTCCGATGTTTATGATTGAAAGTAACACTTTTTCATCATTTGAAAAGGGTTATTTACTAATTTACGTTATATACTCTTCCAAACCTTGTGTTTCTAATTGGATATGTAAAATTTCCAGAAAGTGAAAAATCTCAAATTCAAATAATATTCTTTTGGTGATTAAAAAATGAGCCAAGCTTGAGAAAATCCTAAAAAATCAATCGAAAAAACTTAAAAAAGTATAAGTTAATAAGGATATATGAAATATTTACTCATGTTATAATAAATGAGTACTTTTCAATAATGAGAAAAAATGAGTTAAATAAATATGTATTTAATAAATATATATAAAATGAAAAAAATATAAACATATAAATAATTCATAATAATTTTATATATTTATTTAATTGAAGGCATTTAAAAAGCATTTAATGCAATTATGGTACTAAAATTTCAGAAAGTTTTTGTTAGCTGTGTGCTTCCACTTAATTTTCCCTAGTAACCATGGGCTTGAGTTGTTGTTAAGTTTCAGTAGAATTCATGCAATTATGATATCGACTAAGTATGTTATTATAAATTAACTGAACTTGAGGAAAATTTCTTGTAAGAGAACTTGTGAAAGTTGTTATTCTATTAAAATATAAGTACTTATTAGTTTCTTCGAAATAATAAGCGATTGTGGAGAGAATATTAATTTTCATTGAATTTATTTTATTGTTGGAATATAACTTTGAGTTTTCAATAGTTTTTACTTACAACACAAAATTCTAAATATTTACTAAGAAGAAATTGCCGCATAAACAAAAGATTTAATTTAATTACATAGTTTTGTTATACTAAAATCATTTGTGAATTATTTATTCACAAAATTTATTAAAGAGTAATTTAATTAAAAAGACAGAATTACAAAATAAGTTACTATATAAATGTAAAAGGATAAAAGTAATAGTATATTTTGAAACAAGGTATCTAGTCTACATTTCGATAAAAATATACATAAATGCTCATTAACATATTACCGCATATCATAAAAATGGTTCACCCAAATAGCTTGAGTGGTATAGTTCTTTTTAACCTATTAGATGACCTTTGTATAGGTCTATGAGTTGTTTTTGTTTTTTTTTCGAAAAATTTTTGAATAATTTTGCTGAAGACCGAATTTTTCTCATAATAACTTTATATATACTCTGACAGATGTTGCTAATTCTCATTAAATATCAGCTATTCGGGAATCATTTTAATATATAAAATATTATATATATATATACAATAGAAATGGGAAGAACTAACTGATTGTGATATGTTAGTTGTGATATAAGCCAGCTTTACTATATAATATTGAAAATCTAGCCCTGCATCTACACTGTCCAGACTTTGACATGGTTTTTATATTCGAATGCAAATAAGTATTCTTTTCGAATTCTGTCTTTAAACAAAAATTTTAAAGTAAAAGTAAAAAAAATGAGAGTAACATACTATATAAGCAAAAATCTTGTCAAAATATAGTTAGTTTAGATGCAGAGTTGATAAGTAATAAATTGTGATTACATTTAGTCAATTAAATATTACAAACGACGGTTTGAATTTCTTAAAAAACATTTAAATGATCAAATAAATGAACAAATAAATGACTTGATGATAATTTATATTTCTCGTCAATTAATCTTATTAGTTCTTTTATTATGTATATTGACCCATTATATTTGGCTGATTAAGTCTATGAAGGTTTGAAACGATTTCGCGGCTTTAACTCAAGTCTGAAGTGTTGGGCTTTTTAAGAAGAGATCTTGCAGTATATATATTTGTATACTATATATTGTTACTACTCTGTTTTTAATTTAATTTAATACTATTATTATTAAATTATTAAATAAAATAATTTTCTGTTTTTCTTTGCAGTAAAGAGTAAATCAAAAATTTGCCATAAGAATTAAAAAAAATGACTCCAATTTAAATGCCAAAAAATAATTAGATGTGATTTAAATTTGGCACAGATTCAAGGATTTACATTGTAAGAACTCTCAAAGTGGAAATAAAAATTTTAAACAACAGATTTTATAACTCGTTTTATCGTTGCGATGGATAATTTAATTTCTATGATACCAGGGCCATGTCAACGACTTCGTTTGCCCTCTTTGACGACCATGCTTAAGTTTCCAACACGTAATAATTGTGCCAACAGCCAAGTGTGTAAGCAGAAGCGTCGTGTAGTCTTCATGGGAAGTGCGAGAGTAGGAAAAACGTGTATCATTAATCAATTTTTATATGATCAATATCATCAACGCTATAAAAAGACTGTGGAAGAAATGCATGTTGGTGAATATGATACACCAGATGGTTCTATGTTAATCCTAGAAATTCTCGACACTTCCGGCTCATATACCTTTCCAGCAATGCGTGCCTTGTCAATTACAACATCTGACGCATTCATTCTAGTTTATGCTATAGATGATTTGGATTCATGGTACGAGGTTGAGAGTTTAAGGAAACAGGTTAGTATTAATATTGAATGGCCAGAATATTGTCTTTAAATAAGCATTGTCTTTAAATAAATTTTATTGGTTCTATGGTAATTTTTATAAAAATATACAATAATTTAGGTATCATAAAATATAATGGTGTATGGGGCGAAAATAAATAAGATTGATGACAATCAGAATTTTTATATTTTAACTAATTAATAGAAAGCTTTTCCTTGACTTTAATTCAAGAGTATTAAGTTAAAAAGTAAGATTTAAAATCTAATTAAAGCCTTATATTTTTATGCAAAGAATTTACTTACACTTTAAAGATTTCAATTATTTTATTGAAAATAATTTGGAGAAGTATATGAAATAAAAAATAGAATAAAATTGTTGAAGTAATAGTAAATGTACAATTGAAATAAATTCATACCTCCTGCAAGCTTCATAGGAAAATTTCATAGTAAAATTTGGAGGATGCTACTAGCTACGATGGTGTTTGGTATGGGATGGTATGAGTATTACATAAATTATTTTACGTCGATTCGGTCCATTGAATTGTTGCTTTTCTGTCTGCAGTCTGGCTGAGTTTTAACCTCATGAATACAGAATGGGAGATGACAACTCAAATATGAAATTTGGTCCAAGGCCGTTCGGTGCTCTTAATACTACGTATATTGTGTGTAACTGAGTTGTAAATGTAGAATTGAAAGTGAAAGTAAACAAATACTTTTACTTTTATTCAACTGAATCAGATATACGAAAATATAAATGCTTAAAATTCATTGCTTTTATAAAGTGCTCGTGTGAGATTTTATCTAAATAAATTTTGAATAATGTTTAATTGAGAGTAAATAAAAAAGTTATTACAATATTACAAACATTTCGTATTTATGCAAATATAAAAAAGATCTTAAAACTGTCTTTATGTGTATCTTACATATTTCCCAATTTTGCTATGTATAAATATGTCACAAAAAGGTTTTCTAAAAGCTTTTCAAATTTTGTGAAATTTTAAATATTATTTGTTTTCACATATGTTATTACATTGTAATGTAAATAAAAATTAAAAATCCTTTAACATATATAGATATTATTTACAACAAAATGTGTTTTCTCCAGATATGTTGTACATATATATGAATATACATATAGCACTTAATAGTTTATTTTATAGCAGTGAAAATTTAATAAAAGTTTTGTTGTTATTTCGTGCTCGAGGCTTTAAGTATACTTAATAACTATATACTATATGTCTTTTATTGTTTTCTAGATACTACATACTATACTTTAAAGTTAACCTTCTTCAAATGGATGTTTAAGGACAACGTTGTTGTTTTATAGTGCCTAAGGGTTCAAGTATCCTCTCGAAAAACTTAAATGACTACATAATAATAACTCTTTTCTTTAGATTGTTCTGCATAAAGTTACTTAATTGTATCATAGCATCAGAACAATTCTGTTTTACATTTAAATAACCGAATTTATCTTATTACAGTAATTCAAAACATGCCATAGTTACCTATCTCACTCCTACTTTTTAGAATCTGCCTAAAAAAGAAATTGATATCTAAGTTATTATTTAAGTTTTAGTGTCTTTTCTTAAGTAAACACATTCTATAGTTATTGGTGTTTTAACTCGATATGGCAGTACTAGTTAATACTAGTTGATATCAATTGGGATAAGAAAGCGTAACTTCTAATGACAGTATATCTGACAATGTTTTTGATTTAACTTACATATAGCTTACTCGCATATAGCTTATGGTTGTCAATTTTTTTGATCTGGAGTAAATAATAGTCGGTAATTATGGTATTTAGATATTATTTTTACTATTACACACTAATATGCACTGCGAACAGAGATTTACCTTTAGTAGAGTTTTTATTTTAGTTTGGTTAATTTTAAGCAAAATGTGTAACACTTGAAATTAATTTATAACAGTTTTAATATCTTACCCTAAATTTAAGAGCTGATTTAAATGAAACATTTTCACAAATTCGAGCAAAATATGACAGATCGAGAATCAATCTAGATCTGCCAATCGTAAACGACATTTGATTTCAACTGCAATGAAATATGTCAAATATTTTATTGCCTGCTTTTAGGCACATATTTTATTATAACACAATTATAATAGTATAACTCGCAATCCTCTAATATAGTATATTATGTTTCTTTTTTTACAGATTATTGAGCAACGTGGTCCGGGGATTCCAATTGTTGTTGTTGGAAATAAAATTGATCTATGTATTACTAAACGTCAAGTGCAGTATGAAGTTACTGAAATGGTTGTTTGTGAGGATTGGAAGTGCGCTTATGTTGAATGCTCTGCAAAGCAAAATGTTGGCATCATGAGTATATTCAAACAATTGTTAGAACAATCTGACATACGTTACAATCTTAGTCCAGCAGTGCGACGCAGACGTCAATCATTACCAGCATTCGTTTCAGCAAAAGGCAGTAAGAGTCCGTCACACAGAACATATAGAATGCAACGACATTCATGCACGATGACCTAAAGAAACCTTAGATATATATGGGTACTTGAAGCAGTAGTTGGAGACTATAATGATATTTTATTATTATTGATTGTTATAAGAAAGGCGATATTATTACATAAAAAATAATTATTGCTTTAATTTAATTATTAAGATCTAAATTACATTTTTGTACTTAAGCATGTATAAGTATTTTAGAGATAAGACTTGTGGAAATTTAAGCGATATTTTAAGCATTAGACAAGCATTGTTCATTAAAAAAAAATTTAAGTGATATTTTTTCTAAATTATACCTAAAATTATTGATTGTTTTTATTATATTCAAATATATACAAAACCTAAAATGAATGTAAATATTTTTTTAAAATTATTTTTTCAAACTTAATGGAATTGTATCTAAGCATTAAACTTATAAACAAGTTGAATATTATATTTTGTATTTTCTTGAATATTTATGTATATATATGAAGAAAAGATAATATTTAGTTTTTGTTGACTTCATTTATTTTTATGGTTTATAAGTGTATTATTTGTATACATTGTAATTGTGGTAAAACTATTTCCGACAGATTTATTATGCAGTTTATTTTAAATTAAATTCAAATTAAATTTACTTTAATTTCAAATTAAAATAAACTAATTAATTGTAAAATTTTGACAAAGTATTTGATTGCTGAAATAGTTTCATATAATAGGTAAAATAAATAAAAAAATATAAAGTCACATGATTCAATCTAAAATAAACGCTTTCACAATATATATAGAGTTGTTTGTTCAAAGAAAATAATAATATGCAGAGAATATTAAGTACATTTTTAAGGACTAGTTAAATAAATTAAAAAAAAAAATAATATTGAATACAACTAAAAAAACAAACTAATAAAATAAAATAAAATTTAAAATGTAAATATCTTTTATAAAATTTACTTGTATATCTTGTAAGTATGTCATTTGATTATAATATGTAGTGCATAGTTGTACTCAGAAAACAAAGCAGAGGGGGAAAGGTGTTAAGCAATAATTTTGTAATTGTAATTTATTTTTTGTAAATTGTTTTAATAAACTGGAGAGTAAGCAAAATTGTTATACCAATAAAATAGTTCAGGAAGTTCTATATCCAATGTTTATTTATCTACTTCACCAATAATCAACATGAAAGAGAGAAGGGTGGTGCTCATTACAATATCGGTCGTAATTTGGGCATTTTTATGTACTACCAACTCCCCATATAGCTATCCTTTTGATCTACTGTATTAAAAATATAAATTTGAAAGGTAAGCGCTGGTTACTTCCTTATAAAAGGTTGATAATCTAAAGGCTGAATTAGTTATTCTGTAAGATTTCTGTATTTTATAAATAAATATTATTATATTATTTTATTATATTTTAATTAAAGATTAATTAAAAATATATATTCCTTATTTAAACATAGAAACAAGGAAACAGTGTATAGCGTAACGTGACCTCATTTATATTTCAACTATTTGTTGAATAGATGTATCCATATTAGTTAGTAGCTTTTCTGAAGCTCGAAAAACATTTTTTCAGTAGTTGATCTATTCAAAAAAGAAATCCGAGTATCCGGATAATTATAACCATACAAAATATTTTAATAATTTGAAACTGTCGAATACAAGTACAAATAACAAAGGTAAGGATACCAATATAAGTACAATCTAGCCTTCTTCTTGAGTTATTTAGGTTTAATTTTGTTTTAAGTTAATTATTTTCCACTATCAAAAATTTGGATTATTTTATTTTTATAATGTATTCAAAATCAACGCGACTCTTGTTATTAAATTATATATTCAATCTAGTTAACTTATAGTATGGATATTACACTTTTTATCTAATTTAAAGACTAATATATATCCTAAACAGTGGCGTAACTACAGGGAAGCAACTGGAAGCAACGCTTTCGGGCCCCCGAATTTAGGGGGCCCCACTATAAATTTTTGTATTCATTGTATTTCTTTTTAATAAATTCTCAAAAGTAGGACGAAACGTTTTTTGTTGGAATAACTTCATATTGCATTTTATAAAAGATACGTAAATTTTAAATTTAAAGTACATAATATGTATGTACTTCAAATAAAATATTAAACCTATTTATGAAATAAAAAATTTTTTCTAAGAAAAATATGTGTCTTGATCGAGAGTTTATATGGAAGCTATATCTAAATTTAAACACATTTGAAAATAATTTTGTACGTTGTCTTTTGCAAATATCAGTACTGTATACACCATATTCCATTTGAATACCTTTATTAAAAACGGAGAAACCTTATATCCGATTGTTTAGTTTATATCACAGCTACAAGAAATAGACGTCCAATTTCAATCAAATCAAATGGTGAACAGGGTGCGCTCCCGAAAAGTATGTGTATAAAGTTTTATTCGAAGAGTTCAAAAGCTGAGAGAGTAGTTTGAACTGTAAAAGTATACTGATATATACTTAATGGTATTTCCGAAGTTTCCTTTAATGCGTTACAAAAATCTTGACAAACCTTATATACCCTTTTTACATTTTTTCGTGTAAAGAGTATAAAAAGGGGGCCCCTTAGTATGTTGGTAGGGGCCCCTTAGTTAGAATTTGCTTACAGGCCTAAAAAATGTAGTTACGCCACTGATCCTAAAGAATCAAAACTTTTTTAGTTTATTTTATAAACTATTATATATTATATAACATACTTTATATATATAATTTATTTATAATTTAATAAAATTAATACAAAAAATTTAATATATTGTAACATATTAAAAAAATTTATTTTCTAACAATTTCAGATCCCATTTATTGAATTTTTTTTATTTACTTATTTTTCCAACACTTAGGTAGGGTTAGGTTATTCCGGCGATCCCTAGTGGATCCACTACTGCCTATTGGCCCACTCTGTTACCGTATATGAAGGAAAAACTCAGGTCCTTCTAAAGTATTAAGTCACCGCCGTGCATGAGCTGGGCAAAAACATAGTAGACATAGGCACTCTCATCATCTTCCCCACAGCTGCGACAGATTTGATTAAAAGTGATTCCCTAGTTGCATGATGATTCCTAGTTTACAGTGACCTGTAAGTAAATCTACCAAAAGAACGGTAGCTCTACGCGGTATCTCAATGAGAATTTTGGATTTCTTTTTATCGAAACGTGACCAGATTGCATACAGATGCCTGCATATCGTTGACTTTTCCCATTTTTTATTAAAAATTTCAGTACGGAAAGAATTCAGTAACAATTTGCATGATGTTAGCGATATGCTCAGATTATTTAGGTGTTCCGAGAGTGGTATTGAAGCACCCTTTCTGGCTAGCTCGTCTGCTCTTCAATTTCAAATATTACTAATATTTTGCTTTGTTTTAATGTACAAATTAATTTAAAAAAAATTAAAATATGTAATCTATTCAACGAAAATAGAAAAACTTCATTAATAACGTCAGTGAAATTTTAAGGAAGAGATAAATGCTATATGATTAGATGTAATTTAAAGTCAGTTTTTTAAAAAAAATTTTTTTATTGATATTTTAAATATTTTTCTTGTAGAATAATTTTTAAAATATATTATATACAATTAATTAAGTTTTTATTAAATAACTTTACATGCAGTTTTTCATTTTTAACTTAAAACTTAGCCTAAAATATAAATATATACTGTTTTAAAAAAATATGCAAATATTAATGTTATTTATGTGTATTGTTGTTAAAAATATAAATAAAATTAAATAAAATTATAACTCACACTATATTGAAATTGATATATTTTTTATGAGTAAAAAATACAATTTATAGTTCAAAATTTAAGTCTATTTTGCTTGTATGTCCTGCAGCAATTCGAACATTTTTTCCAGTTTCTGCTCAATATTTTGTAGGCGCCTTTCTGTATTCTGCAAACGTTGTCTGTCCCGGTGGGCAGTTGTCTTTTGATCTATAACTGCCAATGCCATTTTAACCGTTCGGCTGTCCATTTCTGAGCATTTGCCTGTGATGCAAGAGCAACAGCAGGGTAGGAATTGAACTGGTGGGTCGAGTAATTTTTTCTGACGATCATTGTCGTTGGTTGTGAGCGGCAGAAAGGAAGCCTTTGAGTTACGTATGCCATTACTACGACTCATGACATCTTTCAGTTCATAGGCATTAGCTACTGGTATCATGACTTTGTTGTTGTCATTCGGTAATATCGCGATTTGTTTACCCGCTATATAGTTTGGATAAAGATTCATTAAACGACGGCAAATTGTGCGGAATGGTTCATGGTTGACAATGAAGCTTGTGCGACCGGAATGACCAGTTAGAACTTCTTCATAACGAGTTAATAAGTTCGTCCGGCATATTGAACCATTCAGTTCAGCTTGTGCTTTAATAGCCTATAGAAAAATAAGATAGCTCGTAAAAATAAATAATAAGCTGAACATAGTTTTTACCCACCTGTGTATCGCTTACTGCTAAGCCATTCAATAAATTGAACAGAACGATTGACATGAATACCACGAATAGCAGAAACACCAAGTAGCTGTATAGTGTGTCGAAATTAATATCGCCAGCATCGAATTCGCCAGTTAACATAACAATTGTCTTGATTATAGCGGCAAAGGGGTTTGAAAATTTGTTGAATTCATCGCTTGCCTCAGGTTTCGGCAAACCATTCTCATCCAGTTCGGGCTTACCGAAAAGTATGTAAAAGCATAAACTGAATGTTATAACAAAAATGGAATACAGAGTAAAGCTTTTCAGGAAACTTTTCGAGACTGCCCGCAACATTAACATGTGAGTGGATATTGACAAGACTGGAAGAGAACCGACCAACAAACAAAGTTCCAATGCTACAAGTAGCATCGTGAATACAGCAACTACACGTTGTGTTTCTCGATCATAGCTTGGTTCGGTGCAGGTCATTATCGATAAAATAATGAGAGCAATTTCCATTAGATTTATTGGTGAACGGAAGTACATTGTTGGAGACATAATTATTTGCACTGCTTCTCGTATTATCATGTAAGCAATGCCAATCCAAGCAAATAGTCCAAATAATACGGTTACCGTTTCATGCTCACTTTCACGAAATTTGAGTATTGTGTGGGTAACTATTGAAACTGCGAAGAAAGCATATAGCAAAAAATTTATATAAAATATAACGGAAAGTCGGTGCCATTTAAGGAACAGAAAACTTGTGATAAGTGGATGCTGTAGTAAATGTCTGTGCTCTTTTGATTCGGCAATAAATGCAATAGGTGTCATTTCTTCACGTAAATTGTGTTGTATTTCTTTCTTGGTATTTGGAGTGGATTTCTGCAAAATGAGGTTCATGTAATTCATTTGTATCTCGAAATTTTCATCTCCAGGTTTTAGTCCATTAGTAGTAATACAGTTATCTAAATGTTCTTCCAGCACATCTGGCTGCATACCATCGATTGGTAGATCGCAAAAGCGGCTTTTCATACCAATGTAAGCACCATGCTTAAGTAATTCCTGTATGGCTTTTCGGTTTCGGTACTTTACTGCATAATGTAATGGTGTAGATCCGCTGTCATCAATTTCATTGACATCAACACGTTCTGAATCGAGTAATATGTAAAAACATTTATTATAGTCACAAAAATCATTATAAGGAATTTCGTCCAGTTTCTTGATAATTGTGATGAGCAGTTGATCTTGTTTTCGCAGCTTCAAATGTTCATAAGCCAATAACTTCTGCAAAGCATACCAGTTGCCCCAGATAGCAGCAATTTCAATTGCAGAATTCCCATTTTGCAGTAGATTGATACTTAGGTTAGTTTGTAATAAAACATCAAAAGCTTCATTTAAACCGCGTTTTATAGCTTCTACGAGTAAAATCATGTTTTGCTCCTGTACAGCATTTATAAGGTTTTCTTTTCCCGATACATTGAGCTGATAATCCTGAAACTGTTGTATGAATTTTTGCTCATCACAACTGCGCAAATGTGTCAATAACGAATCGAAACTAATGTCGTTGATATTACTACGTGCATCTGGCAGTGTTAGGTCTGGATATTCCTCTTTAAGTATGCGTCGTACTTCACCATCTCGATAACTATCTATATCCAAATTACTCTGTTCTAGAAATATTTGCACTAATTCGCGCTTCTGTTGTTCATTTACTTTACGATTCTTAAGTAGATAATGCAGCGGGGTCATTTCGCGTTGATCTGGTATGTTGGGCGATGCACCATAATGAAGTAAGCTCTTTATGCAGGCTGCAACTTCAGTGGCGTGATCAGGTGAAATATTTTTAGCGAGAGAGTTTAAAGCAGTTAACTGTGAGTATTTTCGATCCGTTTGTACATCTTTATATCTTAGTAATGCTGAAATTATTTTCGGATCTCTAGAATCTGCTGCGAAATTGATTGCGGCTTTATTTAAGTGTTGATTGGTCTACGAAAGGAAAAGATGGTTTATTAAATTATGTAAATGGTGGAATATAATAATAATTGAATACATAAAAACTAAATTTTTTTTACTGAAGACATGTTTTGTATAACAATTTTAAGTGTAAAATTAAGAAAAAAATCTTTCATCAAGTTTATTATTTGTCTTCGGCATTTAAAATATATAATTGATTAGAAAACTATCAATGGTTTCATCACAATAGTTAAATTGATATATAATCGTTTAATGTACTTACATAGTTTGGATTACAGCCACGTCGTAAACATTCTTCAACAAATTCACTGCATCCATTCGTTTTCAAAGCCTTTTCAAATATGCTGACATGTTTATCATCTTGTATGGCGGGGTCGGCGCCCATATCAAGAGCAATGCGAAAATCACGTATGTCACCATTTGATAGGGCGGCACCCAGTTTTAGCTTTATAATGGAATCAAAAAGAGAAAACCTTCATTAATTAAGTTTATATAACAATTAAAGTTTTTTTAAAATAAAAACATAACATTTACGTTTATTACAAATTTAAATGCGGTTTGCTCTATAATCACGTAATTGATCGAACTATTAACGTATCATACCTGAGGATCAATGTAGCCACAATTGTTAATGTCAATGGTGAATTGTTTATTGGCCATTTTTACAACCAAATAGATTAAGTCTTTTGGTGTAGTTCAGCGGCTTTTATTAAATACGATTAAAATGTTGATTTCGGTGCAAAAATATGCCCAGTCAAGTAATATGCCGTCCACAAGTGATAATAAACTGAAAATAAAAGTATTTTATAAATATATATAAATTTAAATAAAAATAGCTTAAAATAATAGTTATAAAAAATATATTTACATATGTATAAAACTCTTAACATAGGGAACTAATTATATCTCTTGTGCTTGCGGCATAAGTTCAGAGATTAAATTATTTAAATAACAAAGACCCGTATTTTTTCTATTATTCTTAAAATTCCTAGAAATGATATTACGTCGAAACTTATTTAAATAATTTGTCCCTTAAAAGTAGAGGTAAAAATATTTCAAAATTTAAAAAACATATTTTAAAAATTATTTTTACATTTTTTAATATACATATAGTGTATTGGAATATTATATTAAATTTAATATAAAAATTACATTATTTTAAATATATTTTATTTTTATTATTTTTCTTGTTATTAATTCAAGCATATTATTATTTATTTAAAAAAACATAAATTAAAGATATTTCATCATTTATATAATGATTTAAATATATTAACATTAAAAATAGATCTCTTTCAATTCGAAGATATAGTACACGGTTTTTATTATAACCAAGGTTTGATGGGTTTATTAACATTGTCAAGTTGCTTGTAATGCAGAAGATGTTAGAGACTATCATCATATATGTATATATACTTAATCGATATGGCTGTATAAATCCATTTGGAGATCTCTTCTTCTTTGTCTATATGTATGTGGGGAATTTATTGGTAATTAACAAAATGAATGAGATGTTCGCGGAGACGATTGTTGTACCTACACAGAGATGCAGTTCCAATGAAAATAAAATCAGTTTAACAGATTATATATGTATATATACAAATATATAATATATATATAAATTCGTACTTGTATAGCAAAACAGAAAAAAAATATGATTACATGGTCTAGGTCAGGGCTGTCCAGTCTAGATGCGATCGCGGGTCAATACAAATTACTGTACAGATTGGAGGGCCGCAGAAACAAATACATACGTTCATAGTTGTTATTAAAAATACATTATAACATTATAAACACGGTTATAATGTCAAAATAATGCAGTTTTACCAGTACACCAAAAAAAAAAATTTGCGTAAATATAGTAGATTAAAAACATGTCGCGGGCCGCATAAACATCAGTCGCGGGCCGTACTTTGGACAGTCCTGGTCTAGATGATTCGCAATATAGGCTAATTATTTGTTACTAATTATCTATTTACTAATTATTTGTAATATCTTGGTCGAATACTAGACTTCTGAAAGAAAGCCTTCGACTTTAACCCTGCCAGATTTATACGGCAACGAAGCGTATCATTAGGTATAAGTAAATTCGTCGGATCTCCGTGTTAATCTTATGGAAAAACATAAAATTAAAAGTTATATTTTTATATATATTGTCGATTTTAGTACAGAAACACAATGAAGTAACAGCAAAACACATAGTGAAGCCGATTTCACTAATTTTTTAGTATATAATTTATTTTAGCTCAGTGGAAAATGAAGTTCATATGTCATAAACAGGTATCTGGTGCTTGGTTTTAAAATTGCAGCAAAGCTAAAGCCAATTTTTTTCCTGTCTTTAATATATCTAACTTAAAGAGTTATTAGATCACCAGATTTTTTTCCACCAAGTTTAGTATGAATCATATGCTGGGTATTAACATTTGTATTCACTTGTGCTCCATATTTACTGAAATTTTAAAATCATTCGTCATTATATATAATAATAGAGAATTAGTAATATTTTTTCTTTAGAGGGTTTCGAATAGCAAATAAATTCGTTGAACTTGTGTTTCTAAATAAAGCTGTAGTTTATAAGTGTTCTAATTTAAAGCACGGCCAGTGCTATAGTTGGTGTCAAAAATTATATAAAAAATTTACAGAAAACCTGGAACTTGAGTAAGACACATTTCTGCAGCCTTGGCTACTTGTGGAAAAGCAAAAGTCATTGCTTCTAATTTCACAGGCACGCGTTCTAAGCCTGGCACTTGCAGTCCAAAGAATTTATATACGGAACATAAACGAATTAAGGAATTGAATATTTCCTAAGCCCATTGATGATGAATACTTGGCAATAATCGAAACCGCGTTGTATGGTCAGCAAAATTTCAATAAATTAAATAAATTTTGTTCTTGCCTTTTCTTTCTTTTAAATTCAAAACCCTCCAAATGTTAAAAAATAGCTTCTTTGTGATTATGAGGGTTTTTCGGCAAAATGAATTAAACTTTAATATATTTTTTATCAATTTTTCAAGTAGATTTAACAACCATTTCTTAAGTAAGCTTAAAATATACTTAGATTTCATCACATCTTTTTCAAATGTACGTGTGAGTATAATCAAGTCGAACATCTGTCTTGCAGTATAGACTGTTGCATGACTACTCGCATATGCTGACTTCTAGCTACAATTAATTTAATTGAGTAATTGTATGCTAAATTAGTGAAATAAACGAGTCACAGTTCATTTGATGATGGCAGCAGAATGTGTTATATGCAATTTTCTTCATAAATAAATATGAATATAAATGTGTTAGCTGTGCCTGTAAGTGCTATTTGACTTAAGAGATTTAGTAAATTATTTATGTGAATTCTTGGGCTGACCATACGGCTGCTTCGGGTCGTATAGATAATTTGTGTTATTCAAAATTTAGGTTTTGTCAACTTTTGTTGTTTATTTGTAAACATCAATTGTAGTTGCTGTGCTATTTTTGGAACTAATGTTACATATATTAATTGACTACAATATTTAAAATTTGGTTTTTTGAACCCTATCGTTATTAAAAAACATTTTTATATTATAAATGCACAATTCAACCAATAAATGTTTCCAAAGATAACTAATGATAGATATTTGGCAGTATCCGAAACAACTGTAAGTTTGCATATACTTCAAGTGGCACTGCTGTGCATAAAAGCTGATTTAAGCACAAATAGTGGCTCGTGATACCATCGATGAGATGGTTTGTACGCCAGATTGAAGAACCATCTAAAATATAGAAATCCAAAGTCTCTAACAACGTTCTTTTCAGTAGAAAGGTGAATCAAACTCATAAAAAACTTGGCTATGCTCTTAACGTTTAGAGATGACAGTTTTGTAAGGAGAGTTTGAAGAGGGCCACTTTTATTGTAGAATTTTATGTCAAATTCATAACCCAATGTTAATAACATTGTAACAGATATTTAAAATGTTGGGCTCTGCAAACTAATTTATATATTAAGGAGAAGTACAAAAATACAAAAAAAAATACAATTTCAGCATATTACAAAATTATATGAATTTATTAATGGAACGCAAAAAATTACTAATACTATATACATTTTATTAAACTTAATAAATATTTTACATTTCTTTAGTTTTAATAATTCTTTTTATAGGAAATTGTCTGCAAACCATTTGAGAATTATAAATTTACTCCATTGATAAAGTATTAATTCTGCCGTTAGATTACGATACCGATATAATTTCATTTGGAATTTTTATGCGCATGCAACTATTACTGCAGCTTTTGGAATTACATTAGTCGTATTTTAACGGTATAATTATTATTTTTCGTTTCATTGCCAAATGAGTAAATTTATAATTCTCCTATGGTTTGCAGATTTATTAACATAAAAAGACTTCTTGAAACTAAGGAAATTATAAATGACTAGTAAGTTCAATGGAATATTTAATATTGATGGTCTTTTCGTTCCGTTGGTACCTCATATAATTTTGTGATATACTGGAATTGATTTTTTTTTACATCTCCCTCATATATAAATTAGTTTGCGGAGCCAACATATTCAATATTTGTTACAATCTTATTAACATTGGGCTATGAATTCCAACGTACCACTGGTAAATAAATGGGGTTATAATTTCTTTCTCAAGTCACAAATCCTACAAAAGTCATTAAAGGGTAGAGGAAATCTTATTGTATGCTTTTCTTATATGTCGTATACCATCCACACCGATACCGTAATACCGAGTTGTTTCCGCTTTAGTTAGAGCATCTGTCTAGTATGAATTTCGTTCAAAATAAACTGGGTGAGTCTCGTGATCTGACAAGAAATCTCTTTGCCGAGACTTAAATTATATATTTTAATATTTTTAAAAATTGAAATTTTAGATTAATCAAGTGTTTACTATTACACACTTTTCTATACGCAGATACATTTTTTTTTTATAGGAGATAAAATATTTGTTTCTGAATTATTAACTGGAACAAAGACCATCTTTAGACACAGAATAGGTGTAAATGCACTAAAGCTTACTATTTTACACCATTAATATATATTTATGACGATTGCATTTGTGATAGAAAGAAATTTTTAGAATACAGATGAAATTATGGACCATTATATGACAATATATGTCGGACTAATTCAGCATAACTGCGGATAATGATTGTCCCGTCAAAGATACGCAAAAAATCGATTGAAGCCTGTAGATTCGATTCCATAATTATTGAGATATAGTGAGATAATTCAAATAGCTTAATTTTTGTATCAAATAAATAGCCTTTAATTTGATATCTAATATCTTATTGTATCATTGAATTTGGAGGTTATAGTAAGTTATACTTTATTTTTTCGGATATTTTGAATCAGTTTTGTGAGAAAAGTCAAAATTTTCGCAAAAAGTAATATATTTTCAGTAAAAGACTTTCCTTTTATCATACACTGTTTTCCTGTAATCGTGTTTTGAGGTCAATTAACTTCAATAAAAAACTTAAGAATTCTCTAGTACTTAGAAACTCTATTGAATAAATCTTGAAAAGTCGTATGATTGCATTTAGAAAGATTTAGTTAGCTAAGATCAAAGATCAATTAAGTTGATCGGTACAAAATATATTGAATTATTTCATAAACCATCACGCACTTTTACTCAAGTACAGTTTATAGTAGATATCGTGTATCCATGAAGTAGACACTCAAACATAGTAATTTAAGAGAATACAAAATAAGCCAGTAAATGTATAATTATATTTTTTGTTGGTGACGTCATTAGTCATTCCAATAGTATATTTCGGAGGCAATGATGAGAT